TCCAACTTTGGCAACTTTAAGACTTGTGGACTTCAACTCCCAGAATTCCTCAGCCAATATGGTTGACTGAGGAATTCTAGGAGTTGAAGTCCACAAGTCTTAAAGTTGCCAAAGTTGGAAACCTTTGAGGTACAGCTATATAGGCAATAACTTGAATTGCATCCAGAAGCCTATTGGAAGCCAATGCAGCTTGTCAAATTATGCTACATGAGTGTAGAATTATGCCCAATATTACCCACTTGCTGCAGTCTGGGCCTGCTAGCTTTCAAATGGACTTCAAGAGCAGTCTCATGCAGATCTCATTGCAGAAATCTAGCCAGGAAGTGACTAAGGTGTGGGTGGATTTCTTGTATTTATATACAATAAGTTCAAAAAAAAGAAGAAGAAATAAGTTGTACAAAAAAGAAGCTTGGTCTAAATTCAGATGTTCCGTAATTTTAATAGATAGCAGCTTAAAAGAAAGACGGAAAGATTATTGAAGAAAGCAAAACAAAAAATGTTACGTCCCAAAGTTTGTACTTTGCTTTTATATAGGTGGTTGTGAATTGGAAACAGGCTGATCTAAGTGATCGGGAAGTGGCCATGCTTGAGTTTGCCCTTGCTGTCTGCAGAGCAGATAATATAACAGAAGAGCACTTTCAAAAGCTGGAGGTACATGGATTTGACCGAGAAGATGCTTGGGACATAGGCTCCATTTCAGCCTTTTTTGCCATGGCAAATCGCATAGCTCTCTTCACAGATATGCGTCCCAACCCGGAATACTATAACATGGATAGACAAGAGGACAAGATCCAATCTTCCAAATAAAGTTTGCTGGTATTTACAAGAATATTTGCTCCTCAGTGCTACGGCTACGTCTGGATAATCCAACAGCACCACTTTCCATTACATGCAGTACTGTACTTTTAAAGTACTCTATTTGGTTGATGTAGGGTTAAGGTTGCTTACTTTCAAGTGTAATTAAAATATATTTGAACATTTATGGTAATCCTTGCTAAAAACCATCTAAGCCAGGGGATTTCCCATTTTCAAAATGTTGAAGTCTGCTATTCTGTTTCTGTAAATGATGAACCTATGTATTGAATATCTTATGCAATGGTGGCAAATATCTGTAGCTCAAGTGTAGGATGACACTCACCTGACATGTCCTCCACATTACAAGACCTACTGACTACACAAAGCCCTTATAAGCAGAAGAACCAACACTGACATCCCGCAAATTCTGCTGAAGATGTTACCTAGCTTACTAAGGAAACATTCAGAAACCAAGCCACAAGCTTGGAGAACAAACCACTCTCAAACATATATACATCAACTTACAACCATTTGTTTAATGACCATTCAAAGTTACAACAGTACTGAAAAAAGTGACCAGTTATCACACTTATGACCATTGCAGCATTTCCACACTCATGTGATCAGACTTCAGGTACTTGGCAACCAACATGTATTTTTTACAATGGTTGCAGTATCCTGGGGTGCTGGGTTTGTCATTTGCAACCTTCCTAGGGAGCTTCTGACAATGGGAGAAGCCAGATTTGCTTCACAACTACATGATTCACTTAACAATCATGATTCACTTAACCGTGGCTAAAGGTCATAAAATGAGGCATGAACCACTTAACAACAGCCTTGTTTACCAATGAATTTTTGGAATTGTTTGTGGCTGTGAGTCAAGGGCTATCTATATAGTTCTTCAAAAATCTTGAATACTAAGTGCTATTATATGCATTATAAGTAATTGTTT